AAACGAAAAGAGTTTAATTTGTAGGCAGTAAAAGGCACTAAGGTCCTGGCCGGAATATTGACTAACCGAGCCGTTTTGTGTCTCTAATTGCTTGATAATGTGAAGCCGTCTTTGCGCGAAAGATTTGTGCGAAATGTCGACGTCCGAACCGGAGTCGGACTTCTGGAGCAGCACGCCGTTGCTGTCACTGTTCTGAGGAGCGCTGGCACGTGTCTCTGCCACGATGTCGTCACGTGACGTCGAAATCGCTGCTCGTGACGCGGCTCGAGATTCTTCCGGTGACAGAACGTGCAACGAGATGGGGCTTGACGGTAATTCCACCCCTTGACAGTAGATTCGCACCTGCAAAAAAAAATCCTTTGAAAACTCTCAGTAGGGAAAGCGAGTTCAAATTCGAGTTAAAATTCGGTGCAGCTAGGGAAGAACTGAGAACTTTGTGTCCGGTAATTGTGATTTGCAGGGTAGAATCGGTTGAATGCGCGTTTACAATTGAGCCATGAGCAAAACGCTTGCACGAAAACTAGTTTACAGAGATCTCTAACCCGTAGACATTTATTTGCACTATTGCGGTGAGAAATGTCAACAATCCAAATTGTCATAAACCTCAGATGGAAAATAACAAAAAAATAGAAGGTCAACAAAATAGATTAGGGGTCTCTGTATATTCTGAAGCAAGATTTATGAGGCATTTGAAAAAAAAGACAAGTCAAGTTTCCTCTCCCCGCGTGCCCTAATTTTTAATTCTTTTCCATAATATGGGACTATTTCAGTATTGAACTTTAGCCATTCTGCAGTCGCAAACAAGCTGTATAATTGGTTAACATTGATTAACAATTAATTTATTCCAAAAGATCATATCCAAGTTACATGATAATCTATTCTTGTGGTTAGTTTATGAAAAACTATGTGTTTTTGTTCGTTTGTGAGGAACGCCGCGAGCGAGTATTGAATAAAGTGAAATAAAATAAAACAAAATAAAATTAATATTTTGAAATCAAAATATGTAATTTGATTCGCAAGCACAAAATTTCAATTCCGTGCCCGGTCAAAAGTGGGTACAAATGAATTTGAGAGACAATACTAATACCCAACCGAGCATGAAGTACAAAGCCATAAGATATAATGATAATAGCCTTGTGACCACAGAGGAATACTTCGAAATCAAATACTAAAAAGATAGAAGAAAAAAGAAATAAATGACGTGCAATTCATAATCGAAG